GCTATGCAGGGCATGCAAGCGAGCAAACACAAACAAGAACAAACAAACAAGTGAAATGAAGAATAAAATTGAAATTGTACAATATAATATTGTGCTGGTTCATCTTATAATTCAGTCTATAGAATGCACCAGACAGCATCTAAGACCTGCAAAAATCTAAATGTTCTTTGGGGAGGCCCCCCAAACCCTTCGTGGCATTTCGTCCGCACGCATTTTTCAGGGCAATCTCTATTGGGCTCAGGGCCATCTGCAAATTAGCTTAGATGGCCCACAGGGCCATCTCCCAAAATCCTTAATGTCATGCACTGTAGTGTCATTTTTCAGAGAGGATTTTGTCAAACGCAGGTTAAATTATTACAATGCAGCTCACTGGTCACCAGTCGCACCCACCCGCCTGTTTTGAAAAACATTGCAATATGCAGAAAAAATGCATCCCAACCAACTTTATGCATAATAGTAGCATAATTGTCAGGACTGAAGAAAGAGAGACAGAGACGGACTAGGCAGCGCTGTGTGATGGTTCCACCTTGTACAATGTACTTTGGCAAGTGCTCCCTTAAAAAAGCAATGGGGTTTTTATATTGGAGAATATAGCAGAAAATTAGCCCTGCAGCAAACAAACATTTGATACTTTTATATTTTGTTAAACTGAAGAATCTCCATATGTTAACTCCACTTTTATGATTATCTTTGTAAGCATCATTGCAAATCCCAGAAGTTAAAAGCTAAACTGTTGCTAGAAACAATCTACATTACGTTTGCATGACTTCACGTTACCTCCCTTGAGCTATATTTGCGGCTAATGTTAGCCTTGATGACGTTTAGTAGCCTCATTCAGTCTCTTCATAGCAACCGCTGTTTTTTTTTACACATACTGTTCAGACTTTCACCAATGTTTTACTGACGTATTTTTTGTCTTAAAACAAAAATAAAATCTCTTAAGCTAGTGTTAAGCACAGCATCTAACAAAAAGATAAAAAATGGTTAACTTTGAGATGAGGAAACCGAAGTGGAAAAATGCTAACTTATTACCAGGTTTTAAACTCATTTAAACAGCACTGTTTCGAGTCGTGCCATTAAAGCCTCTTTGAATTTGAGGGGGAAAGAGTTGTGGAGATTCACATTTTAAGCTAGCGAAATGATGACTAGACAGCCATGATCTACCCATATTTTACAGATGATTGCTGTCAATTATTTTTGCAGTGGTTTAATATTTTATATTGTGCAACCAGTCCTGATTTGAGTCTCCTCCCCAGGTAATGCATGGTGGACTGTTCAGTGAAGATGGTGTGACACTGGAAGACCTCAGGAAGGTTGAAAGGAACAGACAGCCCCCAGACTCAGGTAAACACAAACACCCACCCACCATCTGCCACTGATAACCATCTTTATGCAACATCTCAACATCTCTCCCCCACAGGTCCCATGTGTGACCTCCTCTGGTCGGATCCTCAGCCTCAGGTCAGTCTCCAACACATTTGGAAAGTACATTTGACATACTTGTAGTTTACTTGAGCATTTTTCTTTTATTCTGCCTTCTATTATTAATTTACCGCATCTCAGAGGGAATTATTGTGCTTTTTTAATTGAATCTGTTTAGTAGTAGTACATTTTTTAACATGCATATGTTTGTCTCTTATCTTTCAAAATCCGGATACTCCATTCCGTAGGAATGTAGGTTTGCGACGGTTGCTTTTTTTCATAATGAAATAAATGAAATAATATTTATGTTTTAAATTCACGACTGTTACTTGTCATGAATTACTTTTAAATGATCCACATTACATTAAAGGATGTGAAGACTTCTAACACTAGTTCCCATCCACCCAACACCTCATTAGGTGTTTTTGCTCCAAGTATCCAGTGGTTTGTGTCTGATCAACATAAATGTTCCACCTCTCTCTCTCTCCGTCATGCAGAATGGCCGGTCAGTCAGCAAGCGAGGAGTGAGCTGTCAGTTCGGCCCGGATGTGACGGAGCGTTTCCTTGAACAGAATAAGCTTGACTTCATCGTGCGAAGTCACGAGGTCAAAACTGAGGGCTACGAGGTCACTCACTCAGGGAAGTGCATCACCGTTTTCTCTGCACCCAACTACTGGTACGTACTCCTACCGGCTAACTTGAGTGTCGATTCAGCTGTTATTAAGGCTGCTTACTTTAACTGCTGTTTCTTCTGCCTTCCCCCAGTGATCAGATGGGAAACAAAGGAGCATACATCCACCTCAGGGGATCAGATCTCAAGCCAGAATTTCACCAGTTCACTGCTGTTGTCAGTATCTTGCACTCTAAACTCTTGTATTTATTAAAATTGTTTATAAATGTTGTCATATGGGTTATATGTTACTATCTTTTATCATTATTTGTTTTTGTTAATAATTTACCCAAGAATGTCATTGTAAACATTTTGAACCTTGGGTTAGCCCTCAGCATATTATTATAGTGCCATTTACTAAGAGTTTGGTTTAATTTGGTCCGGTGTGGCCCAATTACCTTAGCTTTAACTTAGCTAACTTGGATTTGTATTAATTCTAACTAAGCAGTTCACCTATTCTAAACTTCAGTTGTAATGACACATTACATTACAAGGCCATTTCAGTTATGAATATTTTGCCACTTGTTCAGACCTCGGCCAAGGCTTATGGTGCATTCACTTGCTCCTCAGACGGTCCTTTTACCCCAATTTGGAAAGTTGTATTCACAGTTTAGTGTGTTAATGTGATGGAAGTCGTTATGTGAAAACAACATGTACGTCACAAAGAAGATATGTTGTATTTTGTTGCTCAGAATGTGTAAATTGTGTATTGGCTCTGTGATTTCGATGAACTCTAAATTGCAATGGGTTCGTTCTTGGCCCTTCCAAGTTTTTCTGAAAATCAGTTTAGCGGCAAAATCATAAAGAAATAAAACAGAAATTGAACATAGAAAAATACCGCTGAGGCACTAGCTAGCGAAACTTACAAAGGGAAAAGATCCAAAGTCCAGGCAAGAACATCATCTTTGTGGAGTTTATTCCAATGATCCAATATCTTACAGTACAATGACAATTAATAAATAACTGATCACGCTTGCCCAAAGCTGGCTTCAAAATGAAAGCACAAAAAACTACTTAAATTAATTTGAATAACACTAAATTAATATACATTTACTATAAACGATACAGCAAGAGAATACATTTTTTATTTTTTTTATTAAATATAAATAATTCCAGTCGGTAGTTTTGCCAGATTCTCTTACAAACGGACAATAAAAACGTTCTTGGCTGAGTTAATAAAACATAGTAAAAAAATGATATATGACCTCTGTGTGTAGGTTAACTATGCAAAAGGCTATTAATGATTTATTTTAAAGCTTATTTATCTTGTTGAAGCTTTATCTAATGGTTGTCTCGCTCTCCTTTACAGCCTCATCCGAACGTCAAGCCCATGGCGTATGCTAACTCGCTAATGCAGATGGGGATGATGTAGAGGCCGTGCTAACCTGTCTGTGACACTGAAGACCTCCCATCTGACCTGAACCATCCCAGCCACCACTCTACACTCCCTAAAGTGCTCGGACATGCTCATGATTAGCCCTACGGGATCCCTCTCCCCCACCGACAAACTTCAGTTAGTTGTGTACAGAAAATAATGTGGCGTAGTTCAGATGGAAGAGATCACTCACACCAGTCCAGAACTGGCTCTATTCCTTCATGTTATCTGTTAAAACTGGAAAAAATCTCCACCTCGGTTGTTCATTCGCTCATGTGTTCCATCACCTGGTAAGAACCTTTCAGATGAGTCTCCTTGGAGCTGCTTGGTTTAAAAAAATATTCGATACACTCAGCAGATGGGATCAAAAAGCTGATATGTACCAAAGATCTGTAATGAAATTGATTGTTTAGTTTTTACAAGGAGTGTGTCTCGCGTCTCGTGACTGAAAACTAGCATTGTGCTTTTGGCCTGTGTACACAGCTCAGAGGATTGTTAATTGGGTTAAGAGCAGCATGTCTATTAGTGTTTCTCTAACTACCCTACAGTGTCACTTCAAGTTTTATTTCACAGGAATACAAAAGTGATTAGATGTTTGACCCCAGTTCAAATAGTTTGATTGTCTCTGGGTACACAATTAAAGGTGATGTCTGCCATTAGTAGTGTATTTAGTTAGTTCGGTCATGTAACTGGTAACATTTAATTTGCACTGCTTCCTGTTGAGGAAGATATTGCTGCTCTCAATGTGTTCATCCCCCACCATCATTGTGCCACTCACACAAGCGCCCTCACAGTCTACTCTCTAAACCAGCTTCGGTGTAAGGAAAACACTGATGGCACTCTAAGTCTCCCATACTCGTTTAACTCCTGGTTACCCATGTGTGGATTTACACAAACGTCCAAAATGCAATCCTGTCTTGAAACGCACAGCTGCATTGTCTAATGGCCCTCAACTTTTTAGATAAAGAAGTACACTGATGTGTATGTATATATACTGTATCATTTAAAGATTCCGTGTAATGTTTGGAAAAAAATATTGAATAAAAAAATCCAGTCCAGTGATTTTAGAAATAAGTTGAGACCTTTATTTATGGCGATTTAATATTGCCTAACAGTTTCCTTTTGGGCAGGGGTTTGCTTCAGCACCTATAATGATGTTGAAGGGGACATATCAAGCATTCAGGTTCATTTTTATTTTAAGCTTGTGGGTGAGTAAGCACACACACGATACTTCCAGATTCCCAAATGAATGTGTCCAGGCACTGCGCGTTTGGCTTAAATATCCCTATTTTTATCAATGTTCTTTTACATTTACTACACAAATGTACTGCAGTGGATAGTAACTTTTATTGAATTAAGGTAATTAAATACAATTTTAAAGTACTTGTGCTTCACTAGAGGATTTCCATATTCTGAAACTATCTTTCTACTGCTATCAAAGGAAGATATTTTAATTGTTCCTTCAATACATTCATTTAAAGCCTTTGGTTACTTTGGAGTTTCAAAAATAATAATACTAAAATATGATAAATAATTACATTTTATTGTAATATAATCCTGTGATGAAATTCACTGTCGAATGGGCGATACACATACGGTAGTAACATAAGTTCCTCTTATGCCCCTTTCACACCAACGCGGTTCAAGGGCCGGTTCGGAGCTAGACCCCTGATAAGCACCGGTTTTTCCTTTTCACACCGTAGCGGATCCGGCTCTAAGCACCGCAAACTGGTGCTTACCAAGCAAGCACTAAACAATTGTCGGTCTTTACAGGGGTGCCCATTACGTCGAAGGTAGTGTTGGTAGATCACATGGCCTTTTTTATTTTATTTTTCAAATGTAGCTTTTCATCCATCCTTACTATGGCATTTGCCACTACGTCATTTTGGCCCACAAATACTTTTACCCTTTGACTTACATTAGGAAAGAGATGTATGTAAATCAGCATATACCTTTTGAGCTAAAACTACTACCTAGCACGAATATTTGTATAGCCGTTATTTTAATCATTGGGGTCTCTAAGTTTGTGCTCACAAAAGCCTGTTACTCTGGGCCCAGCAGGTGAAAAACTAGAGAGGGGCTTCCATATCCGGCAG